ATGTTGCATCACACTCCACGGTGGACATATCCCGTACTGATACCTTTCTTTAAGGTGCCTGCTGACTTTTAGATGCATTGTTCCATTTCTCCGTACGCAGATCAAATGAACATTTTTTTTTTCCTTTCAGATGTTTCACAGCTTTTGTACTTTCCAGAACAATAAATATTCTTTATTCTAATGTCTGAACAGTGTGGCAACTATATTTTATCCTACTAGGCCTCATGTTTCGCTTAATGTTATGCTACTTAGCAATTTGTGATCCTTCTTTAGCAATTGTCCAGCAGTGTATAATGTTATATGTGCTGTCTTTTTGTTCACAAGAATTATGCAAGTTTTATATAGGTGTGTATATATGGGAACAATGTATCTTTTTTTGGTTATAATGTTTTGGTTTGGAGAGAGGGGCGGCATTTTTCATTTTTGTTCGGGGTGGCAAAACTGCCAGAGACGGCCTTGTACAACCCATGGTAAGAATTAACTTATAAAAAAATAAGGAAATAAAGATGAAAAAGAAGATAAACGAAAGCAGCGCCAGTTGAAGAAGGTCGAGGTTAACTAAATGGAACAAACGCGCTAAAAATTCTAATAAAAAAAGAAACTAGTTAGCGCGTAGCTGGACTTCCAAACCCCCCACACACACACACACATACATAGGGCTTCGAATAGTGGCGTAGCTACCAATGGGATCGCGATTGACCGGTGGACCAACAAGACATTTTGGGGTGACCGCTTGAAGATTTTAGCAATTAGTAACTATATATTGGAAATTCAAGATTGGCTGACAGTACACTGACTAAATTTAGAAAAAAATGTTTTATTTTTTAATTTATTCTGAATTGTTTCATAATGAATGCATCATTTGATATAAATACATTTGTGGCTACTATTATTATGTTTGTATCTTTCGTTTTGAATTAAACGCGGTTTTAAAAGTGTTGTTATAAAAGATAAGTAGATATATTCAGTGTTTATTATTAAGTTATAATAATAACCTCTTTTCCTTACCTCCTCACACCTACGACATTGGGAAGTAACGCACACAAGAATTCTTCAAGAAGGGGTGGGGGTGTCGAGGGTTGAAGTCTACCATTCTTGTATCAATACGTAGCCTAACATATTTTTTGAAGTTAACTTCTTATGGCGCGGTAGGGAAAAATTTCCGTTGCGTGTTACGCGTTACCAGTTACGGTTAGCGATGAACGTAAGGTAGAAATGAATAAAGTTCCGAATTTTCCCCACGTTTTAAAAAACGTTATCTAATTCATACTATCTATCTCAGACAAAAAATAATTACAGAATCTGAAAGATCATTTTTTTCGCTACGATATGGTATATTTGGTTTTACAAAATAATGATATTTTCTGTTTTTACAATTTTTTTTAAAGTGAGTCAAAATTGATGCGCTTTTATAAAAATGGTTTCTAAATCATTCCCTTTAAGTTTCCTTTAGCGTTAATGAATTGATATTTTATTCTCAACAAGTTCATGCTTTTCTCTTTTAGAATCAGTCATAAACAAAAATGCAGAAATCTTTTTTTTTCTACGATTTTTCAAAAATTACTCAAAATTTTAATTAGATATTTAATAACTTCATTATTTATAAAAAATAATCTAACGAAACTTTTTTTCCTTATGTAGAATAGTATTATCCGTAATCTGTTCAAAGATTGAAAAAATGGATTAAAAACTACGGCTTTTAAAATTTCTTTTGTGTTTTTCGTCTATTAGCCCTGAGCTGGCACTCCCTCTCCTCATTCAACAGCAACATTAACAAGCCTTTCCTCTTTTCGCTTTTCGATACATACTTTGTTTTATTTTTACGTTACCTAGAAGTCAAATTATAATCAATTTTATAAATAAAAAAAATCGGAAATGAATCTTTAATCTACCCGAAGTAGGCATTTAAATGGCTTAAAATCTGTCAAAAATTAGTTTAAGGAGAGTTTGTTGTATATACAGTTTTAAAATTCTTTCAATTAAATAATACAAACAATCTATTGTTTTAAAATTTAGTGGCAACACAACATTTCTTCCAATAGTTTGGCAATAAAAGATTGTATTTACTAAATTTTCAATCGGATGGATTGTCTAAATCCAGTTTAAGAAATGAGTTTTTAAATCATATATATGCTTTGGTGTAATTAATTTGATTGTTGTAAAAGTGTTATATAGTGCTTCATTAATTTGTATTTTGAGACTACAGTGGACAGTAAAATTTTTTACAAGCATTTCTCAAATTTTTACTGGCTCTATGCAACTTAGAACTAAAACCATATAAAAAAATTGGTGAGAAAAAAAATGATAAATTATGAAGGATTAGTTAAGACAATATGGTTTGAGTTTCCAGATTTACCTCAAATAGGGAAAAAATTAAGACGCAAAGCTGTAGGTTACGCGGCAGAAATTAACGTCAGTAAGATGGCTGTACCAATCGTACTGAGATCTTCCAATATTCCACTCAACAATAACAAAACAATATTTGTTAAGCGTACGCACGTTCCGTTGGTCTGTGCATGTGCTACAACAATTCATAAATCTCAAGGTAACACATACTCAGAAATTGTTTGCGAATACGATCGACGTCACTCTCAATCATTATTACACGTTGCTTTATCACGTGTAACGAGTATTGAAGGATTATATATTGCGACAAAAATAATCATAAAACATTTTACCATTGTCGAAGACGATCATCATCAACAATTGATTTGCAAGAGGAATTTTAACGACTTTCATTGAACAAACCACAAACTATCAATGAAGATTTGATTAATTTCATAACGAACAGACAAGGCTCATCGATTTTTACTTTTAATTGCCAAGTCTTACAGCTCACGCTATAGACTTACAAGATTCAGTAATAAGAAATTCAAATATCTTAGTTTTATCAGAAACTTTGCTGGACAATGAAAGTGATATATCTATTCCTAATTTCAACTGCATTGTTAAGTATAAACGACCAAATACGAGAGCAGGAGGAGTTGCGGTATATCAAAATTCTAGCGATGCTGTTAACATTATAACTCCATCCATGGATTGTTATGTCAGTCAATCCGATATTTATGATACCATACAATCTTTAGTAGGTGATTTGTGATTGGCTGAATGCGTAATAGATAATGGACAAAAAATTATAATTGTAGCAGTATATATTACTCCGAACAAAAAGTTGGATGACATTATCGAGTTCCTTCATCGATCCTTATTACCATACACATCAAGAGGCTCTGCTTTACTTAATAAAAAATATGACAAAATACCTATGATTTTAAGTGGAGATTTTAATGTCAATTTTGCTTTAGACAAATCTCTGCAATTGATTGAATTTTTAAAAGACAATTTCACCTTATCTCTACAAAACTACGGAATAATATCAACGACAAAATCAAATACTACGATTAATGCAGTCTTTTAGAGATACTTAAACGATATTGAATGCAAAACCTACATTTCTTACTTTAGTTACCACAAGCCTTTGATAACAAAAGTATGTGCTGAAACATCCATAAGCATAATGGAAATAGACTAATAATGATGATACTTTTCTCTAAATACATAAAAAAAAAATTTTTTTAGTATTATGCATTGAAAATGAGAAAATTTGGTTTATACTTATACCTTTTCCCTCGTAATTATTTTTTTAAATACAGTTTGAAATAATAATAATAATTTCAAATTTCTAGGAATTCACCTAAATTCTTTTTGTTGTTTGTTCAATGTTGCGAACTTTATTTATCGAAAAGTTTCATGTTTTGTTTTCAATTTTTTATTTCTCTATAAACTGTTATCTGAAAAAGTTCCATGAAAAATCTTACTATATTTATTATTACATCTTAAAAAGCCTACACAAGATCAATTCCGTCATAGTTACATTATATTTTCAATAACAATATGATTTATAAATAAGCTAGTTGTTCCTATTTCAATATTTCAAAATGTTCTTGTATCTGCAATACACTGATGTAATTTTGTCTCTCCTCCTCTGCTCTTTTGCAGAGGAGGAAAGACAAAATTGTGTATTGATGTGAGAAAATTTGAACAAGATATATATATATATATATATATATATATATATATATATATATATATATATATCTTGTTCAAATTTTCAATCGCGCTTTGATAAAATACTTTCTATTCATCCATTCAAATTCAAGTACATTTTAAACAATTCCTACTATATTAGCTCACACTCTATATATTTATTTATCTTCGTGGAATTTTCAATCGTTAACAAAATACATTTTAAAGCGCTCAATTGAGCTGAAATTTTTTATACGTGATTATTTTGGATGACAATGCAGTAATTTAATTATAATTAATAAAAATTAATTGATTAAAACTAACTATTCAAAGAATTAAAAGTACAGCCACGTTGGCATCATTTATGGCGACTAAGCGACCATTTTGGCGTGTCAAAACTTGAAAAAACATTTTCTCACATTTTAAAGCGCTCATTTGAGCAGAAATTTTCTATACACTATTGTTTTGGATAAAAACACGATAATTTAATTATAATTAATTGACTGAAACTAATTATTTAAAGAATTACAGATACAGCCACGTTGGTTTTATTTTTAACGACTTGGATCAAAAGTTTAAAAGATTTTTTTTTCTCAGGTTTTAAAGCATTCACACAGTTGAACTGAAAATTTTTATACACGATTGTTTTGCAGAACAATACGATACTTTAATGATAATTAATAAAAATTAATTACCACTTAATAATGTGATTCTGTCCCATGTATATACATATTTATATTAATTGTAACTATTTAATAAAAAGTAGCTAAAATAAAATTTTTCTTTGTTGATCTAAGTAGGAATTGACTAAATTTTTTTTTATATTACTTGTTTTAAACTTGTAGTGGATGACACTTGATGTTAATACAGTTTTTGAAATTATTAATTCATTAATTAAATTAAAAAATGAATAAATAGTAAAAAACAAAAATAATAGCCCAACAGCATATATAGAAAGGAAAGGCTTTCGTTGTGTCCCTGTAACGCAATGGATAGCGTGTTGGACTTCTAATCCAAAGGTAGAAGGCTCCAATCCTACCTGGGATGACATAATTCCTGAGAATGTGTGTTTTCTTTTTCAATATACTAATTTATTAGAATAATTAAATTTGTGAATAACGAATAAATAGTAAAAAAAATAGTCCATCATATATATGTATATATGTGTGTGTGTGTGTTTATGTTAATAAAAAGTAATTAAAATAAAATTTTTCTTTGTTGACCAAAGTAGGAATTGACTTAACTTTTTTTTATATTACTCTTTTGTATAATTTCCTGTCTATCCCTAAGAACCATTTTGTAGCTTTAAGCCCTCTGATGGATGAGTTCGATCCTCCCGAATAAATAAATAGCCAGAGATTTCCCAACGACGTTTTGTAGCGTAGCATTACGTTTCTGATTCCTTTTAACGTCAGTAAGTACTCAAACACATACGAATTGTATTGGATAAATTATAAAACTAAAATTATGGGCAAAAAAAAAAAGAAAAAGAAAACCCAATGGGGTGCGCTTAAGCGCAAACAACGCCCAGAAAAAGAAGATAGCAGATAAAAGTTGCAGCTTTGGATATTTAAAAAATTCATATATTTTTACTTTTTTACTTAATATAATCCAACCAAGATAGGGCCCATATATATATATTACACCAGAGCCTTTGGGTACCTAGCTACGCTTCTGCCTTCGAACAAAAAGTGAACCGAAAACTGGAAAAAACCGTTATTTTGGTCGGAATGAAAACCGGAACTGGACAAAACAGTGCAGAGAAAAAATCGTACTTCAGAGAGACGTATATATACGTCCGAGGCATTTAACGTACCGGTTGAGTGATACGTATATACACTGGTGTGCAAAAAATAAGGACGAGACGGTTTTTTCAATATAACTTTGTACAAAAGCTTTCCAAATCAACACATTTAATACCGTAAGATCCCCAATACGTAAGGACATGTGTAATATGTAAGCAACATTTACTAAAAAAGAAATCAGAGGGATAAAAAGAAGCTTGATTGAAAAAGTAGCATGGAGCGCAAAATGCGACTGAAGGCCGAAACATCCCTGTAATGGGTGTCCAGCAAGAAACATCCGGTCTTTAGTAGGGGATATGATTTCCCCTGACTGCTAGGCAGGTTTCACAGCGTCTGCCCATGCTGAGAATGAGGGTGTCAATGAGTTGTTGACGCATTGCTGCCCATTCGTCTTGCAGCGCCAATCGAAGCTCCCGAATCTTTAATGGTGGTAAGGTACGAGCTGCCAAGCGTCTGCCTAGAAAATCCCATACATGCTCGATGGGATTGAGATCCGGAAATCGTGCCGGCCAATCCATACGTTCAATATCCTCACTCTCTAAGAACTGTTCGGCAGCTACTGTGCGATGACATGGTGCATTGTCGTCCATGTAAAGGAACTGCAGACCCATAGCGCCTCTAAATAGACGCACATATGGAAGAAGAATCTCGTTACAATAACGGGTCCCGTTGACTGAACCTGCGTCGAAGATGTGAAGGTCTGTACGACTACCAAGCATGATGCCTCCCCAAACGAGAACACCGCGACCTCCATACCTGTCCCTTTCAATGATGTTCGAGGGATGATTGCGGTTTCCCCGCTCTCTCCAGATGAGTATGCGATGAGAATCGCTACTCAAACTGAATCTGCTGTCATCTGTAAAGAGTACTCGTCCCCATTCATTGTCCCTCCAATTCCAGTGTTCCCGGCACCACAGAGAACGCCTTCTCCGATGGGCAGGCGTTAAAGGTACACACCGTATAGGGCGTCGTGCAAACAGACCACCACCGTGCAGTCTTCTGTCCACGGTAAAACGTAAAACGCGATATCGGTCGTCCAGTCGCCTGTGTCGTGTGTCTAGCAATTTCTCCCGCTCTCTGCCTTCTGTTTCTTTTGATCTGAAAGACAATGTACCGGTCATCTGCGGGTGTGGTTCCTCGTGGACGACCACTACTGAACCCCCGGATAGCTGTTCCTGTAGTTTGAAATTGTCTCCAAAGTCGTGAAACGATGCTGCGAGCAATTCCGAACTCTGCAGCCACACTTGTCACACTTCGGCCTTCCTCCAACTTCCCAATGATTCGACCTCGGGTAAAAGCATCCAGATGTCGTCTAACAGATTGATTATTCGCCATTTCTTTCTGAGGCAGCAACTCGGTGTGATTTTAACTGCTATTGGGCGTGCAATCTCTTTGCCAGAAATACTGATCTTACACCGACAACATGCTTTATACTACTCAGACACTCCACCATTACGTCTACCTGCATATCTGCGCATGTGCTACCGTACATCACCTTACTTAATCTCCTGATAGGTCTTTCTGTCCGCTCTGCCTCTTCGTTCAGCTGATATGCTGATTTTTTGATTTCGTCCTTAATTTTTGCACACCAGTGTATACGCCAGTGGCACTTGAGAGGTTAAAATCGTAAATTCAATGCATTGTAAATTCAAAGCATTCAATGCATTTGTATGGAGGGGGAGCGCTAAAAATGATGATTGAACGTTGGGTCGCGAATGTTGAAAGTTTGAGAAGCACTGTTTTATAGCGACACACCGCTCCCACAGCTGGTGTGATGGCATGGGGTGCCATTGCCTACAATACACTGTCACCCCTAGTATCGATCCGTGGCACCATGGCATCCTGCAACTACATGTGTTTCCACTCATGCAACGTCTCCCAGGAGCCATTTTTTAACAAGACAATGCTCGGACTCAGACAGCAAGGGTGCCACAAGACAGTCTCCGCACTGTTACTACCCTTCCTTGGCCTCCCCGATTCCCAGATTTGTCTCCAATCGAGCACATCTGGGATCATTTGGGACGGCGAGTTGGGCATTCTCACGAGTTTGAACGAACTAGAGGCAAGGTTACAGCAAATATGAAACGAAATGTCTCAACACATCATACAGAACTTGTATGTCTCATGCCCGATCGTATCGCTTCTTGCATTCACGCTAGGGGGGATTCAACAGGGAATTAAATCCTCCGTTCTTTTGCCTTTTTCTCTGAAATAAATTATCCTTTTTCTTTGATTTTCTCATCATTTACTTACATCAAAGTAGCCATTACGTATGTAAAATTTCGCGTTTCATTTTGACTACTCCTTCTTGGTGCGCTAATTTTTTTGTGCATGAGTGTATATATATATTCTTATATAGAGAAAGAAACAATATGTTTCAGCAGTAAAGTTTTTCTATTTCGAAACAAAATCATTGGTAATTTCAGATTAATCATTTCTGTGCATATCATTATTAGTCAGTTTTATTTAGTAAAGATGTTCCTAATATTTATTTTGTAAAAAAACAGATTTGTGTATGCAAAGTACAAAGAATCTGAAGAATATATTATCATAAGGGCATTAATATTTCAAGTATCTGTGAGATTGAATAAACTCCTCCCAAAAGAAGTTTAAAACAAATGTATTGGAGGCATAGTTTAACATATAAAAAGTTACTGCAAAGAGAAAAGAGACATTTTTTTATATGCAGGAGAAGTAATACACTCTGAAAACAAAACCTTGCAAAAACGACATAAAAAATGTTTACAAGACATGAGTATTTTATTATTATTATCAAAATTCTCTAATTAAATAACTTTAGTTCGCAATTATAATTTTCAGAGGTTTTTAATAACAACTTTTCAGCTACGTTATAAGGAATCGAACTACAGTATTTCAACAAAATTAATGTGCATATTTTTAGAAAAAAGGAAGAGAAATGATTATCTTCTGTCTTTTATACTTGTAATGCGATGGAAAATTATAAATGTATGCAATTACGAAGAATTATTAGAAGGTAGGTACTAAATTTTTTTTTAGAAATTTTCATTTGAAATCTAGAGTATGTTGAGTATATTTATCTATCCGTTTAATAATAAAAACAAATGCCGAAAATTCATTATAATGTCTTTTATGAAAGTAGAAATTTTATTTAAAGACTGCATGTGTGGTTTTTTTTTCACAAATTGATTTTTTTTTCAGGCTTAATGTGTTAAAAAGGAATATTTGAACCATTAAGTACAATGAGTGCACAGATTTTTTATAAAGAATGGAATTCGTCAATTTGGATTAGAAAATTGTCTTTAATTTAGTTTACATGAAGAAAATAATAAGGAAAATACTAAAGCACGATTTTCACTGATTTTTCAAGTTGTTACTCAGTCTCGTAAATATGAAATCTTTTAATTAACTATTTTTTGTTCTTTGGAATTGTGTTGGTCTTTTGAATTGAATGCGCCGTGCTTTTGTGCCTTGTCAGCGCGTCAGACCTTGTGTACCTGTGTTCGCATCCAGGAACACAACATACATAAGTTTTCTTCTCTGATATCTGAAGATGAGTTTTCAAATGCTTGCTAAGATGATCTTTCCTGCAAAATGATTTTGAACAAACATGGCAAAGATAAGGCTTGTATCCACTGTGAATTCTGCGATGTCTTGACAATTCTTCATTTCTTGAAAAATTCTTCATGCAGTTTGGATATTCACATTTGAAGGGTTTGACACCTATAAAGGAAGAAAGGAAACTTTTTAATTGATCAAAATAAAGACTTTCAGTGTCTAGCTTTCTCAATTATGACAGAATTGAACCCAAAAGAAAAATTTGAGATATTTTTGCGTTTTGTTTATTTTAATAAAACAAATGTCGCCCATCACGGAATTATGTTTAGCAACGCTGACTGCAGTGCTGTAGGGCCTGGGCTCGAATCAAGAAGGCACGGATGTTTATAAATGTATAGTGCCTTTGTGGTATAGGAATACTTTAAATAGCCGTCGGTTCGATGACTTGACCTCTCGTGAAGGTTGGTGGAAGGGAAAGTGAGGTGAAAAGCCCCTGACTACTCCTAGCGTGTTCTCCCTCACAACCGGGATGGAATTGAGCCCAAACATACTATCCCCTGTATGGTGCTCAAAGTTGTAGATAACGACAGGCGTACAATCTAGCTCTTTGCCCCGAGGAATTTCGTGAGCCTCGATTTGACATCGTATAAGACAGGTGGTATTAGTAACAACAACAACAACAAAACAAATGTAATAAATGCTTAT